TATCATAATAATCTCAAAAAAAAAAAAGGTTATTCTTTTTTTTTCAGCCAAGCCCGACAGCTTGTGGGATCTTAGTTTTCCCCAACGATTGGCCGAACTCAGCCTCCTGCAGTGAAGGCAGCAAATCCTAACCACTGGATCACCAGGGAATTTCTGAGAAAAGATTCTTTATCACAATATAAGACTCTTTAGGCTGGCCAGATTATTTACATAGGTGCAACAAGAGTGTTAATTTACCAGATAGGCCTCCTTAAAAATACTTTGCAAACCTAGGGTACTGAATAACTACCACTGCTGTAGATTTAACTTCTATCTGGAAGTTCCATGATGAATGCAGGTTAGACTTTTAAAAGCCTGTATTTGCTTTCCCAAAGCTAGGCAATCAAGCTTAAGAAACTCCACCAGATTTCCCCTGCAGTACCTATAAAATTTGAATGATTTTTGAGATCTTGAAATTTCTTCTGGGGGGTCTTCTTGAGATTCAGAAAATTTCTTGAGTTTTCTAGTCTGCCAGGGAGTGACTTTCCTAATACCTGTGAGGCTGGTACTCCTAGGAACCAGGACAGTTTTCCTAGGAAGTCTTTGTTAACATTGGTTCCATAGGTGCTGCCAAACTTTGGCCCTTAAAATGGCCTGCCATACCTGGTTAAACAAGCATTCTACTTAAATATTACACTTCATGTAAAGCTGTAGTTATACAATCAATGTGTCTGTCAGGTCATATCCTGGTAAAACGGAAAGCAGATCTTTATTCAATCAAGTTAAGAGTTTCCGAATTCTGGGGGAGTCAGTAAAGATCTGATATTTAAACATTTTCAGTTTCCAAAAGTAGAATCTACTGAATTTTTATATTACATACTGATTATTATTTAAGAAGAAAGAGAAAGAGCTTCCTTTCATATCCAGAAAAACAGAACATTAAAACACCATTAATAATAGTCCAAAGAAATAATAAAAATAAAATTCCACTCATCAGTTTCACTTTGTCTTAAACTGTTAATTCTTATTTTGATAAATATTGAGTTAGGAGTCTTGTGAAGTCACCTGCTTCTTGATATAATAGAATCCTGGAAATCCTGACTCAGCCCACTGGTGCAGTCTTGAGGGTTGACTGTGTAATATCAGGTCAGCATTGAAGTGTTAATACTTTGAAGAATTATATGTCAATTATACCTCAGTAAAAAGATGTTTAAAAATAGTTTGAAGAACCTGGCTCAATTCTTTTACCAGGAGGCTCTGAAACTGGCCTCTTTGTTGAAGATACAAACTCTGACTTTAGCTTACAGTAGAACTCTCAAGCAAGCATCTCAATAAAACAAAAACTATCTGTAGAAGACAGAGATGTTAAATGACTATGATTAGTTTATTACTCAGACCTTTCAAATAGGAAAGTCTGATGAGGCAACTGACACAAACTCATCTCACACACTAGTAAAGTAATGCTCAAAATTCTCCAAGCCATGCTTCAATAATACGTGAGCTGTGAACTTCCAGATGTTCAAGCTGGTTTTAGAAAAGGCAGAGGAACCAGAGATCAAATTGCCAACATCCGCTGGATCATCGAAAAAGCAACAGACTTACAGAAAAACATCTATTTCTGCTTTATTGACTATGCCAAAGCCTTTGACTGTGTGGATCACAATAAACTGTGGAAAATTCTGAAAGAGATGGGAANTGAATATTCACTGGAAGGACTGATGTTGAAGCTGAAACTCCAATACTTTGACAACTTGATGTGAAGAACTGACTCACTGGAAAAGACCCTGATGCTGGGAAAGATTGGAAGCGGGAGGAGAAGGGGACAACAGTGGATGAGATAGATGGCATCACCGACTATTATGGACACGAGTCTGAGTAAACTCTGGGAGTTGGTGATGGACAGGGAGGCCAGGCATGCTGCAGTCCATGGGGTCGCAGAGAGCTGAACATGACTGAGCGACTGAACTAAACTGATCTGATGGCATGCAAAACAAAGATAATAAAGCCATGCCAAAAAATTAGACAAAATGCCTCTAAGGGTAGTGATGAAGTTTGTTTTCAAAGACATCATAAAGGTTACATCTCATTTGTAAAAATGAATGGATGAACATGATTTTTATATAATGCTTAAATATAGCTAATAATACTGAGATATTATACTATTAAGGCTTCCCTGATGGCTCAGTGGGTAAAAATCCACCTGCAATGCAGGAGACACAGGAGACTCAAGTTTGATCCCTGGGTCAGGAAGATCTGGAGGAGGAAATGGCAACCCACTCCAGTATTCTCACCTGGTACACTCCATGGACAGAGGAGCCTGGCAGCCTACAGTCCATGAGGTCACAAAGAGTCAGACACGACTAAGCACATGGCACACATTATACTAATATAATATAAAGAATTGTTGTTGTTCAGTCACTAAGTCATGTCCGACTCTTTGTGACCCCATAGACTGCAGCACATCAGGCTTCCCTGTCCTCCATTATCTCCCAGAGTTTGCTCAAGTTCATGTCCACTGAATCAGTGATGCTATCTAACCATCCTTTGCCACCTCTTCTCCTTTTGCCTTCAGTCTTTCCCAGCAGGGTCTTTTCCAATGAGTCAGCTCTTCGCATCAGGTGGCCAAAGTATTGCAGCTTCAGCTTCAGCATTAGTCCTTCCAATGAATATACACAGCTCATTAAAAATATTAGATGTTAAATATACTTATTTTGGTGCAGAAACATTTTACTTACATAAGTACTTCCTTATCTCTACAAGCCATGAGAACACGAGTTCTTTTAAGAATTACTAATGTAGGGGCTTCCCTGGTGGTCCAGTGGTTAAGAATCTGCCTTGCAATGCAGGGGACAAGGGTCTGATCCCTGGTTGGGGAAGATCCCACATGCCTTGAGCAACTAAGCCCATGTGGGATCTTCCCCAACCAGGGATCAAACCCTTGTCCCCTGCATTGCAAGGCAGTCACAACTCCTGAGTCTGACAGCTGAAACTACAGAAGCCCAAGCTCCCCAACAAAGAGAGGCCACTACAGTGAGAAGCCCATTAGTCACAACTAGAGAAAGCCTGGGCACAGCAAGGAAGATCCAGCCAAGGCAAAAATAAATAAATACATTTAAAAGTTAAAAACAAAAAGTATTACTAATTAGCACACTTCCTGGTGGTCGAATGGCTAAGACTCTGCACTCCTAAATCAGGCAGCTTGGATTTGATCCCTGGTCAGGGAGCCTGGTGGACTGCCATCTATGGGGTCGCACAGAGTCGGACACAACTGAAGTGACTTAGCAGCAGCAGCAGCAGATATAGAAAGAGCTTATAGTTTCAGATCAGTAAAGTTAGAAAACAAATTCACACTGGTGCAGATATCCAATAGCTGTTCTTTGTGTCAGATGGCAATGATCAATTCTATTCCACTGGACACAAACAATCCGTATCATTATGAACAAAAATCATTTGGATTATTATCAGTTTTTTACAACTTACAGTTTTAAAATATCTTAAAGACGATAAAAGATAAACATCTAGATAATCCTTTTTGCCTATTTCAAAGCCTTTCATAATTTATCTTGACTAAAGCAAAGGGAAAAGTATTCAGAATACAGTTACACAAACCAGAAAATTTAGCTATTTATGTGTAACATTCTAATCTTATAAACTTTGCAGGTTTCAAAATAAAGGCATTTCTGAAGAATCTTTTGTGCAGAATTCCTTTATTAACAATAAAACTTTGTATTTACTAAAGCACATTCTCCACTAGGCCTTGCTTCATTAGCCTGATTTGAATTACCCTACATATTTGAAAATAATTTAAAAAATTTGAGTAGGTCCTAACAGTTTTTCATTAATCCATCTTCCAATCTTTGGTTACTCTGTATTAGAATTAAAATTTTTAATTATTATCATTAATCTCCTTCTTACATTTGTGAAAAGAAAATGATGGAACTGAACAATCACAGGAAACATTTTTATCCAAATTCTAAGTACCTGTAAAAAGTACAGAGGAATCCCTCCTGATGTTTGAATTAATAGTTTTAAGTATGTGTCAGGTGATTCTTCTTTGGCGAAGGAATGGCAACCCACTCCAGTATTCTTGCCTGGATAATCCCATGGACAGAGGAGCCTGACAGGCTACAGTCCACGGGGTCACAAAGAGTTGGACATGACTGAAGCTTTTAACACACAGGTACACACGGTGATTCCCTCTGCTCCTAGCTTTTCAATCATGTGCTATTGCTGCCTATCTGTCATAAAAAGGGAAGTAGATTGTTAAGGAAAAGATCTAAAACTCCTAAATATTTATTGAGATTGTCCCCTTTTCAGTCAAGAATAGAAAATAAGCACTTTGGAGAGAAGAAAGAGCTATTTAGAAGTAGGACACTTTCAATAGTCTAAACCTTGATGTTTGTACTCACAGCATCTGTGTAGACTGCTCTCTGCAAATGGCTATTGTCCTCTGCAGAGAAAAATCCTAGTCTAAACCCAATTAATTATCCACTTTAAGACCTTTAAAATTCTTAAAAAATCAGAAAATGGAAGTGGTAGGGTATATTTTAACAAATGAAAACACTTACTATTTATTTAGCAATCCTATTGTGTAAATAGTTTCTTAGGTTTTGTTGCTGAGCACATTTTTGAAAGTGAAAGTGAAGTCACTCAGTCGTGTCTGACTCTTTGCGACCCCGTGGACTGTAGCCTACCAGGCTCCTCCAACCATGGACTTCTCCAGGCAAGAATACTGGAGTGGGTTACCATTTCCTTCTCCAGGGGATCTTCCCAACCCAGGGATCGAACCTGGGTCTCCCGCATTGGAGGCAAACGCTTTAACCTCTGAGCCACCAGGGAATTTTTAGTAAAGACTAAAACAAATAGAGGAGGAATTGGGAAATCTAACAATAAGAGGAAAGATTTCCCAGGGAACAAAATAAGAAGAAAGAATGCAGTTTAAAATTGCCATAAACTTTTATCCCAGAAAAGACAAGCAGTTGTATTTGTCTTCAATCAGCTCTATTCATTTTGTTTTTCAGATTGATGATTACCCAGAATTTCTAAGTCCACCAGATAGAGAAACCAACCAACACATTCGTATCATCTATTATTCAACTGTTTTTAAAAAAGAGTGTGAAAAATCAAAAGGTGTCAGGAAATTCTTATTTCCATTTCATCATGTCAATGCTAACAACAAAAAAGGTATGTAATATATTTCTTTAGGTGACATAAGAAAAGACACATTTCTACATGAGATAAAAAGATAATGTTCTTTTTTCCTCCCCAGCTTTATGGAAGTATGATTGACAAATAAAAATCTATGTATTGATATTTAAGGCGTACAGTGTGATGTTTTGATATATGTATATCAAAGTGATCACTGTGAAGTGATCACCACAGTCAGGCTAACTAAGATATCCATCACCACATGCGGTTACTTTTTTGTTTGCTTTTTTTTTTTTAAACACTTGAGATCTACTCTCTCTGCAGATTTCAAATATACAGCATGTTGTTGTTAACTACAGTCACCATGCTATGGCCAGGACTTATTTATCTTATAACTGAAATTTTGTAACCTTTGATGCACACCTACCTTTTCCCCTCACCTCCACTTCCCAGTCCCACAGTGGTGACCACCATTATACTCTCTGTTACTGTGAGTTCCTTTTTTAGATTCCACACAAGCGAGATTATGCAGTATTTACCTTTCTGTGCCTGGCTTATTTGCACAATGTCTTCCAGGTTCATCCACGTTGTTGCAAATGGCAGAATTTCCTTCGTTTTAGAAGATGGATAATACTACATTGTGTGTGTGTATGTATACATATGTACACATACGTATATACATACACAGGCTTCCCAGGTGGCACAGTGGTAAAGAATCCACCTACCAATGCAGAAGATGCAAGAACCACAGGTTTGATCCCTGAGTCGGGAAGATCCCCTGGAGTATGAAATGGGAACCTGCCTCTGTCTTCTTGCCTGGAAAATTCTATGGCCAGAGGAGCCTGGAGGGCTACCACCCATGGGGTTGCAGAGTCAGACAGGACTGAGCGACTAAGCACGCATGTGTGTGCGCGCGCGCGCGCACACACGCGCACACACACACACACACAGACACACTACATTTTCTTTACCCATTCATCTACTGCCAGACACTTCGGTTGTTTACCATTCTTGACTGTGTGTGCTCAGTTGCTAAGTCACGTCCGACTTTTTGTGACCCCATGGACTGTGGTCTGCCAGGCTCCTTTGTCCATAGATTCCCCAGGCAAGAACACTGGAGTGGGTTGCTACTTCATTCTCCAGGGGTACTTCCCAACCCAGGAATTGAACCCACGCCTCTTGCATGTCCTGCATTGGCAGACAGTTTCTTTACCACTGAGCCACCTGGGAAGCCCCATTACACAATTCTTGACTACTGTAACTAATTCTGCTATGAACATGGGAGTGCAGATATCTCTTTGAGACGGTGATTTATTTCCTTCAGATATATACCCAGAAGTGGGATGGCTTTTATTTTTAATTTTTGGTGGAACTTTCATACCATTTTCCAGAATAGCTGTACTAACTTACATTCCCTCCCAACAGTGCATGACGGTTTTCTTTCTTTTTTTTTTTTGCATCCTTGCCGACACTTGTTATCTTTTGACCTTTCGATAAGTCATCCTAGCAGGTGTGAGGTGATAGCACACTGCGGTTTTTGACTTGCTTTTCCCTTATGATTAATGATTGAGAAGATTCGGTTCTTTACACTGAGGATAAGCTGACTGTCCATGATCAGCAGCATAGTGCCTGGGCCTAGTTTGCCATGAGTAGAGAGGAAGGAAAGAAAGAAAAGTATGGAAGAAAGAAAGGGAGGAAGGAAAATAAAAGAAGAAAGAAAAAAAGAGAGGAAAGTGTTTACACTAAATATTGGTTTAAAAAAAGAATGAATTAGACTCGGAATTCCCTTTGGTCAGTGCTTGTTTGATTTTAGTAATCTTATCAACAATCAGAGATTTTTAATGAAAAACCTGGTGAAGAAGTGCAGGGGGTAACCAGAAAGATTGTGAACACCTGGCTTTAGGAAAACTCCTCATAGTCATCTCTCTGAACCCTGGGCCTCTTACCAGCAAGGGAGCCACCAGCCCTGCCCTGATAATTGTGGTTTATTAACAGCATTCACTCTTCATTCAAAAATATTGGTCAGAAGCCTGTTCCCAAGAATGATTCACATCTCGATAAAAGCATGAAAAGTCACCTTTAGATCTTGTTTTTAGGGAGTTCAGTGTGTGATTTTCCAGTTGTGCCTAAGGAGATCCAGATGATCTAGAGAAAGGGAGGTGGGGAGTCCAGACTCCCGGCACTCAACGGGCTCGACCCCAGAGCAGCCCTGTTTCGAGGTTTCACACTTTGGGCCCTTCCCAAACATTTCTCACGGAGAAATTTTAAAAATTCAAGGGTGACTGGATTAAAATAGATTATATAGTTCAGCAAGACACGGCTTACTTTCTTGGTCTTATTTTGTGTATGAAAAATACACATATGTATATGTGTTTGATATATGTATATGAAATGTACATGTATACAAAGGAGTCCTTTAAAGTATCCATCCCTATAATTGGGAGCTATTGAAAAGCAGAAAAAAATGCATAGACTTGGGACTCAATTAAGCCCAGATTTGCATACTGGTTCTCACCCTTCCCAGCTGTGTGACTGTCTGCAAGTCACTCAACGTTTTTATGAGCCTCAGCGTCCTCATCTCTGTTACTAACTTCACAAGGTCATTGTATTATGTGAACTCATGTGGCCAGGGCTGGGCACACAGCAGGGAAGTAGGCAGCTGTGAAGTCTGCATGCTTAGCATGGAGGGAGAAAGAAAGAATGAGATTCACGCTGGCTCACTGGATAGGCCCTTCCACTTCTGGCGTCTAGCCAGTGTAGCCAGACCAACCCGTAGCAGCCTGTTCACGCTTCACTGGACTCCACTCAAAATCAGGGTCAACCTCTTGGAGTACTGAATAGCTACTAAGTGTGAGAAATATATCCAGTGTTTGTACACTGTCCTGGATAAGGACCTTACCACATCGACACTCTAGAGCATGGCGACTGTTTTTTAAAAGCTGCTCTAATTAGCAAACTTGTTAAATCCCTGGTTGCTCACCAGGTCTCCCGTCACACTCATTAGGATATCTAACTGGTGTTGGTTGCCTTAAATTCATATTTATCCTTGTCCACAAGCATAATTATTCTTGGCCTCTTTTCCCCTAACACATATAAGAAGATGAAAACATGCATTAAAGAAGCCAATTATAGGTAGAAGTTTTATGAAATTTAAATTCCTAGAAACTTTGCAAATGATGTTAAAAGCAGTGAAGAGTATTTAAAAAGTTATCCTTTGTTCACACACATATTCATGGAATGACACCTCTCCCCTCCTCTTCTTTACTTTCATCTCCAAGGGTACCATCTGACACTTTGGCAAAGGGATTTTAAAAAACACGAAACTACTGCTGTTTCCAAGGAGTCATACGTAGCACACACTGGAGGATAAAATATATGCCCCCTTTCCAGCAAGTCAGCACTGATGTGCTCAGATTCCTCTTGGCCTCCAAGCTGCTTATTCCTGGGTTAGGTATTGCTCTGTGCACAGGACCCCAGTGGTTCGCCTCCTGGACATTCTGTAATATGTAGTTCTGAAGCAAGAGATACGCTCAAACCTATCTAAGCGTCTATTTGAAGGCAGTCATTACTAGGGTCCTTCATGTTAATAATGATGATGCCATACCTAGAGAAGCTGCTCACATTAATTACTGAGTATTTAAATAAAGATAATTATTAGAACTCCAAACCTCTTGGGTGAAAGCCTAGGGAATATTTGTGTCATGTGGTAAAGGTGCTCACACTCCAATCAAGTAGACCATCTTAACAAAGGAAGCTCAAAATTGCAGATCATTTATAATATAAATGCTCAGTTTAATCACCATACTTTAAAGCAGGATTTCTAATTAGGCCCAACTTATCTGGAGCTACAAAGAGGCTTTTCCCTATAGTACACATGTATACTTGTATGGGCCACAGTTAGCACTCTGAATTGCACATTTTATGGCAACCCACTCCAGTATTCTTGCCTGGAGAATCCCGTGGATGGAGGAGCCTGTGGACTACAGTTCATAGGGCGGCAAAGAGTCAGACACAACTGAAGTGACTTAGTATGCACGCACACATGGTTAGATGGAGGGCATGATTAGCAAACTCTAAATGAACAGTCTTGGTGACACAGAGTGACAGTGGTGAGCTGAACTGGCAGTAAGAGCTCTAGAATGAATGGGGTTATTAATGCCCATTAGCTTCAGGTACATTCTAGAACAGCACTATCCAAGAGAACTTTCTGCAATGATGGAATTGTTCTATATCTAGTCTAATTATGTCTAAACAGTATCCATCAGCTACTTGTGGCTATTGAGGACCTGAGATGACTAGCTACTAATTGAATTTTAATTAATTTTAATGTTAATAGCCACAGGTAGCTCATGGCTGCCAAATTGATCACTGCAGTTCTAGAATCATGGAAAGGAGCTTAAAGGTTTTAGTGGCATATTTTGAAACACTGGCATAAAGTGAAATAGACTAATCCCCAAACCAGAATGAGACACAATAATTTAATGAAACAAACACAGAACCAAAGGTTTATATGTGTGTGTGCATATGTATACATGTGTATGTGCATAATTTTTATTTTAAACCTAAAACCTAGATGTTTTTTAAAACTAGTGATGTGGGGTAAAGCCAAAACAACAAGACACTGATGAGTCTCTTAGGTTAAGTGGATAACTTTTTAAAAGAAAAACTTTTGGCTGCTCTATGCAGCATGTGGGATGCAAGTTCCCTGACCAGGAATGGAACCCACGCCCACTGCATTGGGAGCGCAGACTCCTAGCCACTGGACCGCCAGGGAAGTCTCCGGATAATTTTTATCAATACAAAAGCTTGTTGGCCTTCCCCACAGGAATAGGATTTGACATATAATCAAACCTCCTACAGGCAAAACTGCAGGTTCGTTCTTTCTGGCCTGTCGCTTCTGAAAGCTCCTCAGCTGACCAGCACCGTGCACCATCAGACACACACTGCGCTGAATGGTTGAAGGACTTCCTACCTAGGCTACTGAAGGAGGTTGAAGACTGCTGGTGCACGCGAGATGACATAGGGGCAGATCTCTCTATTATCTGTATTCAGGCTCTCCTGTCATTACTGCCAGTGTATCCCTGCTGGGTTCCCATCACTGGCATCCAGGAGACCAGACATCCCACCAAGTGCTGAAACACAACTCCAGCCCTACTTCATTTCTCAGTGGAGGACAGATGGTCCTAAGTTTAGCCACTCCACTGTTATAAATTAAAAAGCTAATACAGAGAGGCAGGGACATTGACACTAAAGTTTTGTCACAACCTTAGTGTCCTCATACACAAAAAGAGAAAGTTCAGGTTTGGCTGGTGCACTTGGATGAACTCAGGTTTAAGAGATGACTTGAAGCTAGCTAGGTACAGGTTGATTGTAGGCAGTATCAGCTTCTTAGTAAAGGAGCCCCAGCGCTCTCTTTCCCCTTTCCAGCATGCCAGCAGCACAGGACTGTGTTTACAGTTCTCCAAGCTGCCTGTTTCCTGGGTTAGGCACTGCTCTGTACATGCGTCTCCGCGGTTCACCTCCTAGACACCCTGTAACATGTGCTCCTGAAGAAGAGACAGGCTCAAACTTGTCTGACCCCCTAGGCCACAGGTGTTCTACTAATATGTTCTACTTAATTCTAGCAAAAACCAAAGGTGTTATGTGTACCACATTTAGTACCGAATTTGTGAAATGCCTACTATTTCAAGCACCTGTGATGACTGGGGTCCTAAACACTTACATATTAGTAAAGGTTATTTAGCTTGCAAGTACAAACAATTTGATTCTGCCTTAATGCCAAAGAGAATTTATTGGAAAGATTTTGGAGCCTCTTAGGGAATCCAAAGGGGGAACAGAAGAACCAAATAATGGAAGAAACCCGGGGGCCTGCTCCAGGGACTGAATAGCCTGTGAGGAACCCTCCTCTAGGGTTCAGGCAGCCCAAGCGCCACAACTACCGAGCCTGATCAATAGCTAGAGAGTCTGTGTGCCGCAATGAAAGATCCTGCATGAGACAAGACTCAATGCAGCTAAATAAATAGTCAGCAAATCAGTACCTGTATTATATCTTCTTTATAAGCTCAATCAAACTATGTAATTAATGACCAGTTAACTTTTCTTTTTTCCTTAGTCAAAGAAGAGAATAATGGGCCTATCTTTTGGAGAGGCAAAAAGTCTAAAGGTCTGAATGAATCCTTTTTCAGGTGAGATTGTTGTTGGTTTATGTTTTTAACTTACTGATCAAAATTTGTTTTACCTTTTTTAAATGCTTTTGTTCTACTAAAATCTTCTAATTGAGTTCTGTTTATCTTATATATAATAATGAAGGTATTTGGGGAGGCTTTCTTCTACATTCAAATCCAGTTAGTTATAAACTATAAATTTTCTCATTTCAATGGAATATACAGTATCTCAATATAAGTAAATGATTAAAATCAAATTCAAAAACACTTATTGAACTCTGATTCTGTGTAGTAGGAAGTTGGTCCCTGTAATACATACAATGAGTGAGATATAGTTCTACCCTTGAGAAGCTGATTCTAACCAGGACATATGATATTTGCATAAATGAAGACACTACAAAGTACGCATGCTAAGTGTCCTCAATGAGTTTGAGCAACTTGTCGGAGAGATTTAACGAGGAGAAAGGTTTTATTCAGTTTGGGAGAGGAGTCAAGACGTCAGACGACAGTTGTTGAAGAAACAGCACACATGGTGCTTCAGATATTGCAGTTGCGGGAACGGTAGAAGCTACGATAGAGGCAGGAAGAAAATGGAACATGTGTAAATTTAAAAAGGAGTTTCCTAAGCTGCACAACTCAAAGTATGCTTCTATCACACACTTTGAGTATCTAGACACGAGAAGGAGGAGGGGAGCATAGGATTCTAAGAGCTCTGATTCAGGGGGTGACAGGCAGGGGAGAAATTAAGGTGTGTTGGGGCCTTGAAAGTCAGGTATGACATGGGGGGAGTAGCCAGGTTAGGAAAGCACTGTAAAATGCTGCAAAGGAAAAGTGAACTCCTACTTGGGAAGTACGCGCAGACCCGTGGTGCCCCATGCTGTGTGATATCAGGATACTGGGGAGGGTCCTTTTCCCACTGTACTTACTCTCATGCTCACCTTCTCTCACTGCACAATGATGGACAAAGGTCTTCTAAACCTAAATGTCGCTATTATAACTTTTTTTCCTGACCAAAAGAAAAATTGTTTAGGAAGCCTTGCGTCAGATAGCTTAGAGGAGCATGATTTGATTTAAATCCATGCAATACGACGCCATGTTTTAAGGGGTTGCAATTCCATTGTTACCCTGAGCACCATAAGTTACTAGATTCTTGGAGGAGGGGTCTCTGCCTTCCTGTCTCAAGGCACTAAGTGATGTTCCTAACATGGCTTGCATAACTGGAAGTACGGAGGGAGGGGCCGTGCCAGTGGATAAGCCCCACATGCTCTCAGATTCAACATTCTTCATTTCACATATGGTGTACAGTGTCCTAATTTTCCTACACCACGCTGATAGCCTCATTGTTTTCTTCCAATTTAGAAAAATAAAAAAGATTTGTAAGTAATGTAGCAGTAGTTGTTGTAGGTTATTTTGGAGGTTAGAACTCTGTTAAAAAGTGGCTGAAGTCCAACATAGGTTAAAAGGGGAATTTAGGCAATATTGGAATTAGAGGGCAATGCATGTTATTCAACATTCATTCAGTAGATATATATAGATATAAATGTAGATCCATCTATCTTACCTGTTAAATCTGGTGTATTCTATTTGTTGGGCTCTGTGATTGATTTCACATGTGCAACAGTGAGAAAAATCAGTAAAAGTTAGAAAGCACACCACAGGAATGTAGGAATGGTAAGTTGGAATGAAGTTGGATTAGGCATACCTAGAACTGGGGACCCGAGTGCCATAGACCTTTGTCTCTGTCTCCTTGGATGTTTGTGGATCAACTTCCTTTTCTTTCACTGAATAACAAGTCCTCTCTGGGACAGCAAAGTCAACAGCTGTCTTAACTACACTTTTTACTGCTCCCACCACCACATGGTGGCTAACTCACATACTTTCTTGCATCAAATTTAAAAATCCTGGGACCTCCCTGGTGGTCCAGTGGTTAAGAATCCACCTGCCGGTGCAGGGGACACAGGTCTGATCCCTGGTCTGGGAACTAAGATCCCACACGCCATGGGGCAACTAGACCTGTGTGTCAGAACTACTGAAGCCCATGTACCCTAAAGCCTGTGCTCTGTAACAAGAGAAACCACAGCAATGAGAAGCCTGCACGCCTCTATTAGAGAAAGTCCACGCACAGCAACGAAGAGCCTGAGAGCTTCAATGAAGACCCACCACAACCAAAAAAAAGAAAAAATCCTGGGACGTCTCTGATGCCTAGCTTGAATAAATGATTCACTGCTGAAAATATCCACTATAACCAAGAAGTTTAAGAGCATGGCAGCTTCTGTGCGCTCCATGTGTGGAGGAGAGGAGTGAATATAGGTCGGGGTGGTAGAGTTAGGTCTGCTATCCATAGTTTCTAGGACTGCCATCTTCGTAATTAAACATTTGAGTCAAAAGTGTAAACAATAGGCAGGCTATGATGAACACTAATTAGAGGGCTAAAGAATGTTATCGTATAGAGAGGGCTTTGAAACACCTCTGTGGTATAAAGTTCCAGGCCTAATTATGAGAAGCTGCAGGTCATAAGAAGGAAGTAGTTATCTTGGGACATCAGACTTACATAAATATGATTACTTTTCAAGGTAATAGTAAACAACAGACCTTTTAACACCTGAGGGATGGAAAACAGACTAGTGATGATCTCTGATAATGAGATTCAGTACTTCGGTTTCTCTATCTTTAGTATAGCTCTTCATTAGTGGATAGTTTCATGTACTCAAACATTTTACAGGAGAAAACCCAGGCAGATGTCTCCTCAAAATGCTCCTTGAGGAAAATTTATTGTGACCAATTTTAAGAGTCCCCTAAAGCTGGTGGGGAAAACACTGCCTATTGCTTGCACATATAAAAGGAAAACATAGAGGTCAACAGAAAATTTTTACACTGCTGGCACAGAGTCAGATTTATATAAATTCAACTGAGTTCACCCTGAATAATCCAAAAGGAAAAGAGTGACAATGCTTAGTGCTCAGTCTAGATCTGCTCGGCTCATACCCAACTAGGGTGGATTTTGATCTGAGTTTACATCTGTTTATAGCCTCTACTGATATCTAGCTAATGGAAACTTAAAAGCAGACTTTCTAACCATAGCGCATGGCAAGTAGAAGGATGACCTGAAGAAACCAATCTGTTTAATAAACAGAATTCACCCAGGTTCAATCCCTGGGTTGGGAAGATCTCCTGGAGAAGGAAATGGCAACCCACTCCAGTGTTCTTGCCTGGAGAATCCCATGGATAGAGGAGCCTGGCAGGCTACAGAACATGGGATCGCAAGAGTCAGACATGACTATGTGGCTAAACCACCACCACATGACAGAGGTGACCACCTTGGCATCCTCATGAAGTGAGAATGTGTTGCACTTAATATCATTAGCAAAATAGAATGGAAAAAAACAATCAAAAAGAAGTTGAACCTTCTATCTTTCTCTAAGAAGAAACATTTCTTGGCAGAAAGTAGAAAAAGAGAGCTGTGTTATTCTTTTCTGCATAGTAGAGAAAAACATGCAGCCTCAGTAGTCACACTGGATAACCTCAAGTCTGGACTCTGTCTTGGACTATTTCACCTTCCCAGGGCTTCACTCCTCATTGTAGGATGGGGCTCACAATGGTACCTATCCCACAGGGATGATACATAAAGAACTAAATCACGTATGGTTGACCCTTGAACAACACTGGTTTGAACTTTGCGGGTTCATTTATATGGATATTTCTTTAATACATTCTGTACTAGTACTACAGTCCTACACAATCCTCAGATATGGAACCTTGGATACAGAGGGGTGACTCTCAAGTGTTATGTGCACAGTTGATTTTCAACTGTGCAGAGGATCAGCGCCCCAACCCCATGTTGTTCAAGGGTCAACTGTACATGTAAAGTGCTTGAACTGTGTGTGACACTTAGTAAATCCCTATTAAACTTAGCTCTTTTGTTATTGCTAATTATCTGTAAGTCAGTCACTAAACAATAATCTATTCAGCATCCTCAGAATCCTTGAACAAGTCTTAGAAAAGAATAACTTTCCTCTTTCCTACTCTCACTAATAATATGGTATTTAAAGAACAAAAATGCTATTGTGTGGGTTTCCCGCGTAGCTCAGTGGTAAAGAATCCATCTGCCAGTGCGGGAGAAACGAGTTCACTCCCTGGTCCGGGAAGACCCCACATGCTGAGAAGCAACTAAGTCGGTGAGCCACCACTACCGAGCCTGTGTTCTGGAGCCCAGGCGCTGCAACTGCTGAGTCCGTGTGCCACAACTACTGAAGCCCGTGCACCTAGAGCTCATGGTCCACAACAGGAGAAGCTCCCACAATGAGAAGCCCGTATACGACAACTGCAATGTAGCCCCTAGTTGCCACAACCAGAGAAAAGCTCATGCAGCAATGAAGACCCAGCACAGCCAAAAATGAAAATAAGTACATAATTTTTTAAAAAGCTATTAAAAATGCTATTGTGCAATAATTTGGCATGTGTGTGTGCTGAGTCACTTCAGGCATGTCCGACTCTTTGTGATCCTATGGACTGTAGCCTGCCAGGCTCCTCTGTCTTTGGGATTCTCCAGGCAGGAATACTGGAGTGGGTTGCCATAAAATGTACAATTCACAGTGCTAACTGTGTTGAATATTATGTTACGTGACTCTGGGTCACATGAAGAGTTTGGTACTGGTCTCTGCCAGCCTCTTGATTACACTTAAATACTGATAATTGCTTTCCAGTTCTGAATTATATTACATAAAATTGCTTATATCTCACCAATTCTGCTTTAGTAGAGCCTTCATGGGGAATTTTTTATTCAGGAGAGCTGTAATTCTACATCTTGAGGTCTAGGCCTATATGATTTTTTTTTATGGAAGAATCATTGTTCTTTATTGTTCTGCTTGTTTTTTCTATTTTATGCATTAATCTGACTACCTCCTTGAATAGGTGCTTTGCTCTCCATGAAAACTAAATTCCCTATTTTCATATTTAACTTCTTTCTCTTCCTTCATAAGAGTTTTAAAAATCAAATAATTATTATATTTTGTATTTGATTTTAAAACTCTTGAAAAAGATGAGAAAGAAGGTAAATAAATTCTACTTAAAAACACTTTCTTCATTTCTTGATAGAATCAATACGCTAGCATATATGTACTTTGTATTCTTAGTCGACCTTTCATCTAATGGATTTTTCTTAAGCTGTTTAATGTTACCTGTTGCTTTTTGGACTGTGGCTTTAACTTGATGGTTTCAGCCTCAAGGAGTGAATGTGGCTGTGTTTGATGTGGAGGGGAAAAGGAGAAAAGTCATTTGTGCATAATTTTGATCTTGGAGTTATCTTTCCCAGTTCTCTCATTGCTTACTCCTTTATGGCTGGGCTCTCCCTAGAGATACATAATTAGTTCATTAGAAAAACACTTGACTTTTAGCAACCTAGTACTATAAATATGAAGTCGACAAGTGTGGAAATTCAAGGTTTTAGAACTCTTGCTTAGTAATGAACTACTCTTTAATCAGACTACTAAGAGTGGGTATTACTGAATTTTAAATGAAAAATACAGTTTAGCTTTATGGTTGGCTTGCTTAATTGGTGAAGCTATAATGTCTGTGGCATTTTAATTTATGCTGTCAAAAAGGTAATTCTTGTTAGAACTCTCTTAACTCTCTAAAATAATACATTTTTCATACGACTGAGTAAATTACAGTCACTTCAAGTGGACCTTTCTGTAACTACCTGAAATCATTTTGATGACCTTTCACATTTAAGATCAGTTCAGTTCAATCGCTCAGTCGTGTCCAACTCTTTGTGACCCCATGGACTGCAGCACGCCAGGCCTCCCTATCCACCACCAACTCCGGAGCTTATTCAAACTCATGTCCATCGACTTGGTGATGCCATCCAACCATCTCATCCTCTCATTCCTTTCTCCTCCCACCTTCAATCTTTCCCAGCATCAGGGTCTTTTCCAATAAGTCAGTTCTTTGCATCATGTGGCTAAAGTATTGGAGTTTCAGCTTCAACATCAGTCCTCCCAATGAATATTCAGGACTGATTTCCTTTAGGATAGACTGGTTGGATCTCCTTGCAGTCTGAGGGACTCTCAAGAGTCTTCTGCAACACCACAGTTCAAAAGCATCAGTTCTTCAGTGCTCAGCTTTCTTTATTGTCCAACTCTCACATCCATATGTGACTACTGGAAAAACCATAGCTTTGACTAGACGGACCTTTGTTGGCAAAGTGATGTCTCTGCTATTTAATATGCTGCTTAGGTTGATCATAGCTTTTCTTCCAAGGAGCAAGTGTCTTTGAATTTCATGGCTGCAATCACCATCTGCAGTGATTTTGGAGCCCAGAAAGATAAAGTCTGTCACTGTTTTCCCATCTGTTTGCCATGAAGTGATGGGACTGGATGCCATGATCTTAGTTTAACATACGTTGTGCCTAAAATGAACATTTTAACCTAATTTCATAACATAATCTGTACACTGGCTATTTAATTGAGTTCCCATAGAGAAAATTTTAGAAAATATCATCTACAAAAATAAAGAAAAAAAAAAGAAGAAAGAAAAAAAAATAAAGAAAAGCTATCACTTTTTGAGCAGTTGTATATTCATGTGTGAGTGTTGTGTGTGCATACATATACACATATGTAAAATCAGTGGAAGAGGGAGCTGAGAGTTGAAACTCAGCCTAGTTCATAGGATTGTACAGATGATGAATGAATTCTACAACTGTTTAAAATTAAGAACAAATACAAACAAAGTGGTTTCCAACTTTCATAGAGGTTCCAGTCTCACAAGGGAGACAAGATAAATTAATATAAAATGATAAACCAGCCATTCAAGGCAATATAGGGTAATATTAATAGCTAGCACCTACTGAGTGATTAATAGCTAGCATCTATTGAGTATTGCATGTATTTCCTTACTTAATCCTCACAGAAACCCAATGAGATGGTTCTATCGGTTCCTATTTTTAAATTAGGAAATGAAGGCTTAGGTCAGTCAAAGTCACATGACCACTGAGTGGCAGAGCCTGGATTAGAACTTGGATCTCATGCTCTGCAACTTCTTAGAGTCTGCCACTTGCTTCCTTGGGCTGCAGAGAAGAGAAATGGGTCGTGGTGAGCTGGAGGGAACAGGGAAGACAAAAGACGGGACAAAAGGTTGATTCTGAAGAAAACTGCTGATGCTATTGCAATGATATTGGAAAAATCAGAGGAGTATTAGGAAGACATGAGTCAAAGAAAACACCATTTGAGAAAATCTCTTTTCACATCTCTCCATGTGAATAGTTTCTTCCTTATGGTGTCCATCAGAAATGCACAGTGAAGGAACAATCAGCTTTCAAAACTAGAATGAGAAGTCCTTTCACCAGGAGTACTGGGCTCTGGGAAGGACAGGCGTAATGCTTGAGATGTACAAAAATGCCTCTTTAAAGGACATAGGGTAGAATTCTACTTCTGAAAGCAGGAGTACATACTGAAGAATTGTACCCTAACCCCTCCAGGTCAGTGGTGAACGCAGGTGAGAGTAAATCGCTCCTTTCTCCTAACAAGCATTCCCTTTATGTGAAGACTTTTACTTTCAGACTGCTGCAGTGGGCCACTGGGTTCTCTGTTCCTTTCTGTTAAATTCTGACTATGATGTTTAACTCTGAATTCCACCTGACAGGCACCACCGGGAGAGCAGCCCAGCATCCGAGGACTCAACTCTCGGCCCTCCTTCAGACCTGAAGAAGCTGTCCCTTCGTGGCCAAAGAGCCTGTGGACCCTCACCTACCCCCTCCAGGGGAAGCTGTCAGCTCACTCCACCCACTAGCAAGGCTAGTGGGCCATTTTGTACAACAGACACAAAAGATCCCCGGGAGCTTTCAGATCACAAGGACTCTCTAAGTGAAATCCCTTTCAAGTGCAATGGGCACGGAAATGAGTTTTACTTAGGAAATTCCACTCTGGCTTCCCCTTTACAGAGCAACCCAAACCTAGAGAAAAAGGAATCAGAACTTCATTTGTATGTTATTTCCACAACGTCATCAATGTTTCTGCACCTAAAAAGTTCATGGAACAATTATATTATAGTAAGTGTCCTCCTAAGTTAACCTCGGCTTGGGTGTTGTTCTTTAGGATGGGCTTCCCTGCTCTCCCTCCCCATTTTGGAAACTTAACCTTGGGATTTAAGGTGGCGAAAGACACAGTGCACTGGACAATTAAGGAGATGGTGTTATCAGGCTACTGCAATAGGGAAGATGCTCATTAATGAAAAGTGTCTTAAAGAGAAGGAGACGGGCCTGAGGTTTCATGAGGCAGGTAATAAATAGGGGAGTTGACCATAAGTCTCATGGGAATCAGTAAGGAAGGTTGGAGACAGGTTTTATTTTGGAATATTTGTGAGCAGTGTGGGGTTTTTTTGAGTTAGCTGGGGTGATTTCTCAGGCTTCCCACGTGGCGGTAGTGGTAAAAAACCTGCCTGCCAGTGCAGGAGATTTAAGAGACACAGGTTCAATCCCTGGGTTGGAAAGATGCCCTGGAGGAGGGCATGGCACCCACTCCAGTATTCTTGCCTGGACAATCCCATGGACAGAGGAGCCTGGTGGGCTATGGTCCACAGTGTTGCAAAGGGTTGGACACAATTGAAGTGACTTAGCATGCACACACGGGGTGATTTCTTAACCATTCAGCTTTCAGTGAGGACAAAGCTCAACATTGTCAATATGTTTCATTATTTCTTAGCTGTGCTACTAAAAGTAGGTTAGTGGGAGTCATTGTCATAATATCAGCTAATTTTATAGAGATCACCTGGCTTACGTCCTTTATTTTACAAATGAGGAGACTGAAGCAAAAAAAAAAAAAAAATTCAAGTAACTTACTCAGCATTGTATAGTAAGTTTAGAGACAGAGTCAGAACTCTCATTTAGTAATCTTTTTATAATGCCAGGATCAGTTTTATAATATGATTCTTTTTAGTTACCTTCAGTGATATATAATTTTTATTACTGATCTTCGAATATAATAATGTTGAAATGAAAGTCTCACAGTTGTGTCTGACTCTTTGCAACTCCATGGACTATATATAGTCCATGGAATTCTCCAGGCCAGAATACTGGAGTGGGTAGCCTTTCCCTTCTCCAGGGGATCTTCCCAACCCAGGGATCGAACTCAGGTCTGCATTGTGGATGAATTCTTTACCAGCTGAGCCACAAGGGAAGCCCAGGAATACTGTAGTGGGTAGTCTATCCCTTCTGCAGCAGATCTTCCAACCCAGGGATCAAACCCAGGTCTCCCGCATTGTAGGTGGATTCTTCACCAGCTGAGCCACAAGGGAAGCCCTTCCGAGGGAAAAGAATCTTTCATAATAATGTTAAGAGGTATGAAAGACTCTTATCACTCAGAAGTTAGGAAGGAGGGGTTTTATAAGTGGCCCCATATTTGGAAGACTGGCAAGGCAACTCTAGTTTTCTCATAGCACAGTTCAGAATATTTAATGTTTAAATTAAATGTTAAATGTTTAAAATTCACCTGTAAAATCTTAAACAGCCTCTTCCTCCAAATTAAGAATGTATGTGAATCATAAATAGAGGGAAAATCTTGATCTCTTAAAAGAAGGCTTTATATATTCTAATAGAAAACCCAAAACTTAATTGACTTTTAAAAATCTGCCTAGATATTTAAAAGTAACTGCTTATGCTTCCAGAATTAACTAACTCCTAGTTTTAAGTACTACTTTAAAATTCTGCAGTAGAGGCATGCTTGGGATAAGTCAAATGGGCCAACTCATAGCCTTTCTGATAATAAAAGCAACAACAAATAACTAACATGTAGTGTTATTATCAGTGTGTTAACTGTGCTGATGCTTTCTGTATATTAACTCATTTAATCTGTACAATAGTCCTATGAGGGAAGACTTATTCTCATCTCATAGATGAGGAAACTGAGGTATAGGGAAATTAAATAATATATTCAAGGTTATACAACTAACACAGAACTGGGATTTGAACCCAGATAGACTGATTTTTTTTCTATGCACTGAAGTAATGTGGATGGAGGGTGTTATCCTTATGAGTTGGCAGACATTACTATTAAACAACGTTCTATCCCTTGAAAGATGGAAAACAAGTAAGCAAATATTTCATATGCAAATGATGAATCAATTAGGTTAGCATTTATTCTAGTGAAAACAGGGTATTAGCTCAATATAAACATTTTTAAAAGTGTGACTTTTTTGGTGACATTGTTGAATTCTCTAATTAGCGTGGTTACCCTTGGTTAGTCTTGGCTATCTTCATAAATTTTAGGAAATGGAAAAAAAAAAATCTCCTAAATCAGTCAGACTTATCTTGGGTAATTGATCTGTTGTGTCTGAGATTTCTTTCCTGTTGAGGTATGGAAATGCTCCTGGGAAAAGACATCTTAACTCTCTGTATACTTTCAGGTAAAATTAACCTAAACTATCCAGTTAGAAATTAGCACTCATTCTGATTTTAAGGGTTTCCAAAGAGTTGTCTCCGTGGGTAAGCCATTTCATCTGTAAATTTTACCAAAAGTAATTATGAACTCTGTTGTTTAGCATCTCAAATTCTACGAAGACAAAATATGGCAATTCTTTGCCCTAATGTTGTGAAGATAACTGTTAGAAAGCTAAATAACTAAGGAATATTCTCAAATTAAAATTCTAGATTTAAGGCAAGGATAAATTTGGAGAGGAAAAAAGGGCAGCTTTTTAAAAAAAATAAAAAACATAGAATGATGACACAAATAGTAAGACAAAGCACCTAATTCCCCCCCTACACACCCACCTACCACCTACCTCTGTTATAAGGAGTAAGACAGGAGTTGTTTGGAGCTGTAAGTCAGAAACATTTCAGAAATCCCTTCTGAGCTGTCTGTTAAGCCTCAAAATGAACAAAAAATTACTTAGAGAACTTGCCGAACATTACACGCCAGTTTGTTTTAAGACCTGGAATGAATGGGAAATGGCAACACTAACGATTTAAGGAAAAAATAACCCCATTAAAGGGGGAACAGGTAACAAAATTATTGTATATCTTGGCAATGTAATACTGGGTAATTATTAAAAAGACTGAAATAAATCTATATATATAGATACGAAGAACTGTCCACTATGTATTAAGTGAAAAAGAAACCCCAGATTAACATGTGATATGATGTGGCTAGTATTAAATAAATATTATAAATATATATCATCTAATGTGTAAATATTATAAATGTATGTTATAATTAATATGTTTTTATCGGCCTGAAAGAATATAAACCAAACCAACAACAGCAAGGTGTTTTGAATATTGAGACAGAAGGGATAGTGAGGGATAGGGAACTTTTTATCATTTACACATTTCTGTACTGTTTGATGGTGATACAATGAGCAAGTATTAGGTTTAAAACTTTAAAAAATAACTATGTAAGGAAAACAATTCCCCGTGGTATTATCAAATACTGGAATGAGTTACAAATCATGTACTGTAGAAGGGATTAAAGAATAGATAGGTATATGATATTGACTAAAAGTAAGGGGAATTGATTTTCAGTCAACAAAAATTCTAACTATTCCCACTTTTTTCCTCTTTCAGAAAGCTACTCTTTTACAAGATCCCCTATATGTTAGCGAGCTCAGCCCTGCTACTGGAAATCAAAAGCCATACAGGTAAGAAGTGATGACAGGTCAGAGTTACATAGGAGGTGGGGAGGGGGGGTTGTTCTCTTTGCCTCTCCTAATGCTGTGTGTGGCTGACCATCATATTTATATCTATATCACTTCTTGCCCTGAATTGCAAATACTCTAATCTACGGGACATCACTTCTTGTGTGTGTCACAGGAGCCATAAGGTCAGCATATTCAAAACAGGGCTCAGCCTCTTCCTTCTGTGACCTGACCTTCTGGCTATGTTTCCTAAACAGGGCATGATGTCAGTATCTCCAGACAGCCTAAGCCAGGGTCCTGGATCCCCAGATGCCCGCCCTCTTCATCCAGTCCTCACTACATGATTTGTTGCACCTATTGAATACATCTGGATAACACCCACTTCTTTCCACTGCCATATGCTCAGGTCCAGTTATCTCTGTTTTGGGTTCCCACCAGTATTTTCCTTGGTGGTCTCTGCCTTCACTCTTGCGCCCCTCTAGACCCTTCTTCAGCATGACAGAGGAATCTTTCAGAAGCACAAATCTAATCATGTCACTTCTCCCTTCAAGCCTTTGAAGAGCTCCCCAGTGCCCTTAGGAGGTCTACACTCTATAACACCTTTTTACAAATCTTCCTACTATCTCTTTATTTTTCTATCCTCAACTGTTGTGAGGATATCCCCACACTCCTACCTTAAATTCCTGATCCAAGAGAACTTGTAGTTCTCAAAAAAATCCCTGTTCATCTGGGTCCTAACATGATGGCCTCCATTCTAGAACTTACCCTCTTCTCTCCTTCCTCTTCATAGAAATGTCAGCTCAAGTCTTAGCTCATTATCCCTTTTTCTAAAAATCATTTCTCAAAGTAAGTTAAGAGGGCCCCTCCATAACATCCTGTGGTTACACAGCTTGTAGCACTGTCCGCTCTATATTATGGACTGCTGTTTGTGTGCTGCCCATTAGGAAATATGCTCCTCAAGGGGGGACAGTACCTTGGTCGCTGGCACATAGTAGACTGCCAGTAAGCTTTATACAATGAATGAATGAATGAATGAATGAAATAAGATAGAGGCTGGACCTTATATGCGAGACAAAGGAACTTGGGATTTTATCCAGACTTTACAGTACTACTATGTTCTCATCACAGTCAGCCTTACATTGAAGTAGTTATTTGTGATGTGACTATTACTTCCAATAGATTGTGAGCCCCTGGAAGGCAATGGACTTCCTTTGTGGGTCAGGGGTAAAGAATCCACCTGCAACGCAGGAGTCGTGGTTTTGATGCCTGGGTCGGGAAGATCCTTAGAGAAGAAAATGACAATCACTCCAGTATTTTTGCCTGGGAAATCACACGGACAGAGGAGCCTGGCGGGCTACAGTCCATGGGGGGTCACAAGAGCTGGACACAACTTATCAACTAAACCACCACCACCACCCTAGAAGGCAAGAAGGATGTCTTATTAATTTTTGTATTTTTCTTAAAACAGTGCTTTGCACAAAGAAAACACTCTGTGAATTGATGATTCCAATAACTTTGATATTAAGTCATAAGCGAGTTTTGAGAGATTTATGATAGTGACATATACGGGGGGGTGATGTAAATAAACTAAGGGAAAGTTTAATTTTAAAAGATACAATTTATTCCCCATTAAAAGGACCCAAAGTTTCTTGGAAGAATGACTGATTCTAGGCCTGCGGCAGGAAATACACAAATGAGCTTGAAACAGCTCGAGGCAGGATGCAAACAGCAACAGGGCCCAAACTAAAGGACAAAGGAGCATCCATGAAGTTGTATCTGACTCTCTCGCAACCTCATGGACTGAAGCCCACCAGGCTCCTCTGTCCATGGGATTGCCAAGCCAAGAAAAGCGGAGTGCTGTTTGCTTCTCGACAATTAAACTGGAATCTGACTTAAAGTGTGGGTATGTCAGCCTTAAGGAATGAAATTCTATACATGTCACAATATAGATGAGCCTTGAAGACATAATGCTATGTGAAATAAGTCAGTCATAAAAGGACAAATATTTTATGATTCCACTTATACGAGACACCTAAAATAGGCAAATTCATAGAAACAAAACCAGAATATGGGTTACCAGGAGCTAGGGAGAGAGAGGAATGGAGACTTATTGATTGATGGATTCAGAGTTTCTGTTTGGGATGATGAAAAAGTTCTGGAAATAGGTAGTAGTGGTGTTGCACAATATTATGATTGCACTTACTGCCGCTGAATTGTATTAATACACCTGAAAATGGTTGAAGTGGTAAATTTTATGTTATGCATATTTTATCTCAGAATTTTTAAAGGGGTGTGTGTGTGTTTGTGTGTGTCTGTGTGTGTAAGGGAATAGATAAAACATGACTGACAAAATGTTGAAAATTACTGAAGCTTAGTGATGGGTATGTGGGGATTTCTTATGTGATTTTCCCCATTTTTGTGTATGAAAATTTCCATAGTTAAAGTTTTTAAAAGACCTAAGAAACACGGCAAGCAAATATAACCATTATCTTATTTAGATCTTGATTTTAGCAAGCCAAATATAAAAATATATTTTAAGGCAAGAGAGAACATTTGAATATGGACTGGGTATTAGACAATACCACAGAATTACTGATGTTTGTTGGTGTGATAATGATGAGTTTGCATGGAAATGTTCCATTTATTTTGAGATATGTTCTTAGGTATAGGGGTTAAATAACATAATGTTTGGGATTTCTTTTTAAAAAAGATGATTAGATAGCTTAGAATTTCTACATGTTTTCATCTGTTTACTCTAAAAAAGTATCAGTTTTAATTTTTGGTGCTATGTTGTGTAAAGTGATTTTAAAGTTAATTGTATAATAAAACAGGCTCTCACTTAGTGTGGCTTGAAATTTATCCCTGAAGGCAAGGAGAGGTCTGCCTCTATCTGGACTCAGGAAAAGCATATTTCTTGCAAAGTTAATTAGCAAAGGCAATATATTTAAAATATAGTAATTTAATGCACCATGAAGGATGCAAATATATGTACAAGACACATAGGAAATGGTCTGTACCTACAAGGCACCTTCAGCTTAAAAGGAGTAAATATTCTTTGGGTTAGGATTTTGTCACAGTTGTGAGTTCTGTAATCTGATTATTGTGAACATATACACAGGGCTTCTGAGATAATGTATGAAAAACCATTCCAGCTATAAAGTATGATACAAATGTAAGTTATAACTGATGTTAAAGTTTATAAAAATGAAAAATACAGGAAAAATAGAACTTATCATTAAATCAAGAATTCTCCTGCCACATTATTTGGGTGAGGTTTTGTTTTGTAGCTCATGAAATACAGAATATCTGTTAACTTTAATATAAAATGTCCTCTTATTGTTAAACTGAATAATGGAGTCTTCTGGCACTAGACTTTTTCTTATTTAAATTAGTCAAAGTTTGTCATCTATGTAAAAGCAAATATTCTCTGAATTTTCAGAGAAACTGTGATTATCCATAACTTCTCTGTAGAAATATAGATTACTGAATCTAATTTGAATTTATGAGGTAAGATAAGACCTCATTTTACACATTAATTGATTTTCAGTATGAAGAGATTAGTGTGCTTTTTCTTATGAAATTTGTTTTTGCCTTTTTGAAAAAAATAGTTTGATATTATAATCTATTATCACAGGTGCCAAAAGATTAAAAACAGTTCATTTATATATGAATCTTAGCAAATTGCTGACTCCCAGTGGGAAAAACTGGAAACTCAATTTCAAAATGATTGTGCTGATATTGTATTTTTCTGGGCTTTTGCTTTTCTAAGCTCATTTGTTTGTGAAAACTATGTTTCTGCTGTTTTTCGGAGTTCTCAGAGAGTAGAGGGATTTTATGATTATTTTTTAAATGAAATATGGCAATAGTTTGAAAAAGGCATATAGGGAAGTAAGATCTCAAAGCTTATTCCTATTTAGATAATATTTATTAAATACTTACTGTATGCTAAGCACATGAAGTAACTAAAATACCAAAACAGCACAGTGGGATAGGTACTATCATCATCCTCATTTTACAGATGGGAAAACTGAGGTATAGACACACGAGGAAACTTGCCCTTGGTAGTTACTCAGAGGAGCAGGGGCAGATCCAGGATACTGATCAGTCCATCTGACCATGCCCTCATGCTCAAAATCATGTTCTTCTGCCTCTATGACTGTTACCACTGAATTCTTTAATTTTTTAAATTCAGGTATAGTTGGTTTATAATATATGTTTTAGGTATACAACATTGTGATTCACAGTTTTTAATGATGATAGTCCATTTAAAGTTGTTATAAAATGTTGGCGATATTCCCTGTGCTGTATGATATATCCTTGCAGCTTATTTATTTATACACAGTAGTTTATACTCTTAATGCCCTGCCTCTGTCTTGCCCCTCTTCCCTTCCCTCTCCTCACTGGTGACCACTAGTTTGTTCTCTGTATCTGTGAGTCTATTTATTTTTTGCTATATTCATTCATTTATTTCTTAGATTCCACATATAAGTGATATCATACAGTATCTGCCTTTTTCTGTCTGATTTATTTCAATTAGCATAATACCCTCCAACTCTATCCATGTTCTGCAAATGGCAGGATTTCATTCTCTTTTATGGCTGAGTAGTATTCCTTTCTGTGTGTGTGTATGTGTACACACATACATGGCTTCCCTGGTGACTCAGTGATAAAGAATCTGCCTGCCAACGCATATATACAGGTTTGATCCCTGGGTCGGGAAGATGCCCTGGAGAAGGAAATGGCAACCCACTCCAGTATTCTTGCCTGGGAAATCCCATGGACAGAGGAGCCTGGCAGGCTACAGAACATGGGGTTGCAAGAGTCAGACATGACTATGTGACTAAACCACCACCACATGACAGAGGTGACCACCTTGGCATCCTTATGAAATGAGAGTGTGTTGCACTTAATATCATTAGCAAAATAGAAGGAAAAAAACAATCAAAAAGAAGTTGAACCTTCTATCTTTCTCTAAGAAGAAACATTTCTTGGCAGAAAGTAGAAAAAGGGAGCTGTGTTATTCTTTTCTGCATAGTAGAGAAAAACATGCAGCCTCAGTAGTCACAAGAGTTGGACATGACTTAGCAACTAAAGCTATACACACACACACACACACACACACACACACACACACACACACATCATATCTTTTTTATCCACTCATCTGCTGAGGTTACTTATATCCATTAGCCATTGTAAATAATGGTCCTGTGATCATTGGGGGTACATGTATCTTCACATTACTGTTTTCATTTTTTTTCAGATAAGTATCCAGGAGTGGGTACTTGGGTCATATGGCAGCTCTATTTTTAGTTTTTTGAGTAACCTCTATCCTGTTTTCCATAGTGGCTGCACCAATTTACATTCCTGCCAACAGTGAAAAAAGTGAAAGTGAAAGTTGCTTAGTCGTGTCCAACTCTTTGTGACCCCATGGACTATACAGTCCAGGGAATTATCCAGGCCAGAATACTGGAATGGGTAGCCTTATCCTTTCTCCAGGGAATCTTCCCAACCCAGGGATTGAACCCAGGTCTCCCTCATTGCAGGCAGATTCTTTACCAGCTGAGCCACAAGGGAAACCCAAGAATACTGGAGTGGGTAGCCTATCCCTTCTCCAAGGGATCTTCCCAATCCAGGAATCGAACTGGGGTCTCCTGCATTGCAGGCAGGTTCTTTACCAACTGAGCTATCAGGGAAGCCCTAACAGTGTACAAGGATTCCTTTTTTCCCACATCCTTGCCAACATTTGTTATTTGTGGCCTTTTTGATGGCTAAGTACACATGGACATCACCAGATGGTCAACACCGAAATCAGATTGATTATATTCTATGCAGCCAAAGATGGAGAAGCTCTATACAGTCAGCAAAAACAAGACTGGGAGCTGACTGTGGCTCAGGTCATGAACTCCTTATTGCCAAATTCAGACTGAAATTGAAGAAAGTAGGGAAAACCACTAGATCATTCAGGTATGACCTAAATCAAATCCCTTAGGATTATACAGTGAAAGTGAGAAATAGATTTAAGGGACTAGATCTGATAGACAGAGTGCCTGATGAACAATGGATGGAGGTTCATGACACTGTACAGGAGACAGGGATTAAGACCATCCCCATGGAAAAGAAATGCAAAAAAGCAAAATGGCTGTCTAAGGAGGCCTTACAAATAGCTGTGAAAAGAAGAGAAGTGAAAAGCAAAGGAGAAAAGGAAAGATATTCCCATTTGAATGCAGAGTTCCAAAGAATAGCCAGGAGAGATAAAAAAGCGATCAATGCAAAGAAATAGAGGAAAACAACAGAATGGAAAGACGAGAGATCCCTTCAAGAAAATTAGAGCTACCAAGGGAACATTTCACACCAACATGGGCTCGATAAAGGACAGAAATGGTATGGACCTAACAGAAGCAGAAGATATTAAGAAGAGGTGGCAAGAATACACAGAAGAACT